AATGAATTAGTATCCAAAACTGCTTCAACTAATTTCATAAGAGTATTGATTGTCATCCCATTGATTCGACCATTTGTTGCACGTTCATTTAAGAATTCTTCTAATGCAATAAGTGCTCCATGTCTTGGTATCATTGTATAAAGGTCAGTAACATCAAATGTAATAAAATTTGTTGTTGGTGTTAGAAGACCAATACTAGAATAGAATTCGAGTCGTCGAACAAAATGAATATCATTAATAAATGTTGTTTGTCTAGTTGCTTGATCAAATATTGGACGAAGACATTGATCTAAGAAATGTGATACACCTATAGCTGGTGATCGTATCATTGATATAATTGGTCTCAATGGTGTACCAATCTAAAAATAAAACAATAAAAGATTGAATACTATTAGTATAGTCCATAATATAATTACTTTATGTGGTTTTGGTATAAAATAAAGATGTGGCAATTCGATTTTTTGAATATTTGGATACATGTATTGTTTCCAAATACTAAAATTAATTACTTTCTTGTTTAATAACGGCTTTAGTATTGTTAAAATGTGATCATAGTGATCGTTAATTGGATTAATACCACTTTGAATCTCTTGATAAGCTTGTGTTTTTTCCATGTATGCAAGCGATTTTTCATGATAACTATTAGCACTTGCTAAATGAAATACTTTACTTTTATCTGATCGTTGTATGATAATATTATGTTTATTTCGAGTGTGTTTAATAGTCTGTATCATTTGTTGTTCGTATCGAGCACGAGCTAATAATTTAGATGGTAATGGTGTTGTATGAGATATTAACAATAGATCTTTGATTGATGCAAAAAAGTCATTAGCTCGTTGATCAGAACTCGATATGCGATTGTCATAAAAACTATTTTTAAAGCAATTAACAAATGCATCATATTGTTTTGTAAGTCGAGTAGTAAGTGGTAAATTTGAGAAATGACTTTGACAAATTGGTATAAAAGGTGGACCATTAGCAAGATATTGAATATAATTTAATGAAGGATATGGAGCTACTTCAATGATTGGTGATGATAAACGAATATGGCTAAATTTCTTTAATGTATTGCTCCGATGGTTGTTCCAGCCACTTGATTTTCTTACATAACCATCGGAGCTTCGTCGAAAAAAGACATCTTACGATTAGTAATTAATTCAGCACGTTTAGGGTGTGGGTGTGGGTGTGGGTGTGGGTGTGGGTGTGGGTGTGGGTGTGTAATATGTTTATAAGTGTCACTACCGGTTTCATTACTAACTATAAGTAAATCATCAGGTGACTATAAGACTGCATAATTATCCTTGAGTAGAATCAAAAGTATATTATAACAATATACTTCCAATATCTAACATCGCAGACTTATTATTAAAGCAGACAATACTATTACTGGGTGTGTAATATGTTTATAAGTGTCACTACCGGTTTCATTACTAACTATAAGTAAATCATCAGGTGACTTACATATAGACTGGATAAGTGTCGTTGGTGAGAGTGTGTTTGATGTATAATAGAATGTTGTGTTGTTTGATGTATAATAGAATGTTGTGTTGTTTGTGGAGTTGGTGTGGTTGTTGAATGTTAGATTGATAGGATTTTATTAAGTGTTTTTGTGCCACGTATATTGTAAAAAGTTTGTCTATTGTAAGATACTTGATCGGTTATTACGAATGAGTTGTTTTTATCTAGAATAGAGAAAACTATGTTTATCTATAGTTGATTATGTAATGATATTTAAGAAAAAGAATGTTTCTAAAGTAGTATAATGAAAGTGTAGTAGGAATGAGATATTTAGGTAGCAATTATTTTGAATATTGTTTTTTTTCATTTAATAGTTCACTTTTTAATGCTAATGTTGTTCATGTATTGATGTGAGATATCGCTGAAATACTTTGTTGTTGATTTTGCTTTTCAGTCATTTCATGATTAATCGTTTAAAGACGATTAATTGGTCTTAATTGTTCAATTTCATCTTCCAGTTGTGATATATATGTTAGAATAGTAGGATCTTTTATGACGATTGATTGATCTTGTTCCCACTGCTCTAATTGAATTTGTTCTTCTTGTTCTGTTAATCGTTGAATATGATCAATGTGCTGGAGTTGTTCGAGTTCATCTTGCATAATTGTTATTTGTTCAAATGGATCGACGACATGAATTTTTTCTAATTCTTGGATTTGTTCTTGTTCGCATCGTTCCTTTGAATCCATCGTTTCCCACATATATGCTTCTAAAAGTTGCTCGTTGTACATTTCATCCATTGGTTCTTCCATATGATCAGAGGGATATAATTGATTGTCATAGTAGTTTTGTCGTCGATTTTGTTGAAGTTCCCACGGAAGGTGACGTTGTTGCAATCGTTGAGTTAGTTCAAGGCCCCATTGACTTAGATGGTCGGCCCATCGTGTATATTGTTCCAGTGGTCTTTGTGAACTTTGACCTGGATAATGTCTTGGTTGCGGTCGTACTTGTTGCTGTTGATGTCTTTGTTGCTGTTGTCTTTGTTGCCTTTGTTGTTGTTGTTGTCTCAGTAGTTGTTGGTGCTGTTGTTGTCTCTGTTGTTGTCGTTGTTGTCTTTGTCGCTGTATTTGTTGTTGTTGTAGTGCCTCGCGTTCTTCTCGCCTTCGTTGACGTTGTCGTTGACGTCGTCTTCGTTGAGCTTGGCGTCGAGAAGATCGATTGTTATGTTCAGATGTATTTGTAATTATTGGTCTTTGACTTGGAATCATATTTGTCATGTTGAATGATATTAATTGTGTTTGACTTGTAATTATAGTTTCAGTAAATAATAATTGACTAATATTGGATTGATTTTCATTATTTTCAGATGATGATTCAGTCGGACTATGAGGAACTTGAGTGCTATTTACGTTCATTCTAAAATATATGTTTTAGAAAAAGAAATATATTAATTAATTACATTGCAATCTTCTTTAAACGTGAAATATATTGTACATACATATGATAGCTTGATATATATTTTGTGAATAAAAATCTATAAATATATATGTCCTTTTGTATATATATATCTAGAAAAACAAAGAAACTAATATAACAAATGTTCATTAATGTATGTTAATATAATGATATTTATGCTTTTGATATATCTAGAAGATAGGGTAGAATAAAAAAAGATGATTGTTACAAAAACAAAATAAAACTGACCTAATATAAGCATAAACTTGAATGCTACATTGTTATCGTTGATGTCGTTAAATGTGAGATGTAAAACCATTTAAGTCATTGCTCCAAATAAATCAGTGTAATAGAAGACATGATGATAAAATAAACCAACTGAAATAATTTGATAAGTGAAGATAAATTTATCGTTGATGTTGTGAAGACTGGTTTTGTATAAAGAAGTAATTGGACAAACTGTAGATGTAATATGATGAATATAATTTGGATAGATGTTGAATTTAAAACCTAAAATTAAAAAAAATAAAAATAAATAATAAGAAAAACTCCTACTTACTAAGATGTTCATAATTATGGTATAGAGAACATATGGACTTCTCGATTGGATCGATAATATCCAAAAGATGATTAACTTATACTAGAATTCATAGCATATATATATACTCTTATGCTTACCAAACATTGCATAGTAAGAGAATAATCTAAAAGTTAGGAAAATTCGAAAGTCTACTATACAATTTCAGCTAAGGATAAGACTATATATTCGCTATAGAATTTTCATTAGGATTAATCCTCTTTGGGCACTATCGATCCAATGGAGAAGTCCTATCTTTCTCTATGAGATGTCTTCGAATATCGAGAGGCCACCTGCTATAGTATTGCAATCTCGAAGGAAGAATGATAGATCTGAAATATAAATGATAAACAAAAATTAGAAAATGTTAGTTTCTTGGATAATATAATACTTATTTTAAAAAAGCTTTATGAATGTTATTATAGAATAAGAGACATACAAAAAAAGGAAAAAATGGTTACAATACTATGTTATATGAAGTGGAAGCTAAAGAACTATTGAAAACAGTATAGTTTAACCTTATATGTTAAATATCTGTAGGATTAACATTGATGAGCATGGATTTCGGTGGCTTCTTCTTCACGAATAAATGCTGAAGAGATTTGTTGGTTCGTGGACTAATGTTCAATATCACATTATTCATTAGTGAACCAGGATACACATAGTACTTGTTCCATAATTGCCGTAGCTTTTGTGGAAAATCTAACATTGGACCACTGGAATAATTAAAATGAACACGAATCTCTTTCTTATTCCGTTTTCTTATTTCTAGTTCATTTTGTTCTAAATTATTTTGCTGCTGTTGTTGCTGTTGCTGTTGCTGTTGTTGTTTTCTTTCTCGTCGTGTTGGTAAATGAATTAGTTTATGATGAAGTTGTTGATAAATATCATCATTTAATTCTACCATCAATGACATAACATTGTTTTGTTGAAGGAATTGTTTAAAATGACATGAAATAAATTTTGGTGGATAACCATTCAATAATAACGTTAGCTCAATATGTAGTCGTTCTTCATCAAAATCTTTGACATGTGAACAAAGACGTACTGCTCGATAAAGAGCACCTTTAATTGTATTACGATGAACATGACGTGGATGATCAGATTGAAATGGTAGAATATAAGGTGCTGCTGCTGGTTTATGAAACACAGTTGTTTTCAATTGCCCTTGATTGTTAAACACTGAAACATCAAGAAATTGTGCAGTTGATCC